CCCTGCCTATTCCAATTCCAGATGTGGCAGGGGATTGACATAGAGACCAAGATGCACGTCCGCTTCCTAAACATGGAGACTATTTCACAGTGCCATTGACTGCGACTGGCTCCACAGAGCTGTTGGACCATGGGCACTGACTATGGGGGATGGAGCACAGGAAGAGGGAACTGGGCCATGAGCAGAGGAGGGAGGAAAACAGCCTCTGAGAGCAGGTTCTTTGATACCAGATATCTGTCATTTGCTCCCAGTGTGTGTGACTAAGTCCTATGATGTCCTCTAGTCCCTGTGTTCCCACAGGGGCTTCTTTGTGCTGTGTAGAAATGCATAGGGCTTAAGTGCCAACTTTTATCGATAATAAAATATTATTCTCTCTTTTTTTTTTGGTCTGTTTGGGGAATGTGTGCCCCCCTCCCCGCCGCCCTCTCTTCAAGATGGCCCATATTCAGAGCCCAGCTTCTCCTCAGCTCCTCCAAGACAGAGCAGCATCCTGTTAGCTCCTCCAGTGCCTAAGGTAGGAGTGTGAGGAGGAGCAGCTGGTGTCCTCAGCCAGTCAGCATGTGCTGCTGTTTCCAGGTCTGCGTCAGGTGCAGGAAATAGCTCTCCTCTGCATTCCTGGAGCCAATGAGATGCTGAAGGAGGATGGGCTATTTTTTGTGGGCAGTTTCCCCCCCCGTCCTTGCTGAACCTATGAGAACACCAGCACCACTCCAAAATATTAAACTCGAGTCAAAGGTGTAACAGGAAACAAGAGATGAGAACTTTGTACCCTTTCAGATTTAGTGCATCAATGCTCATAGACACACCCCCACAAAGGGGATTAATCCATGGCACAGATTAAATTCATGGTGCCCTCTGACCTGTCTTTGCTCTACCCGTTGGTCTATCACCTTCCAGCATCCCAACCAGCGCAGCTCCTGTCTCTGGAGCCAGGAGTATCTCTGAATATGTCTAGTGTCCAGTAGAGTGGGGGCTCATAACCCAGTGGTGCCTTCTGGATTCATAGACATTAGGGCTGGAAGAGACCTTGGAAGATCATCGAGTCCAGCCCCCGCCCAAAGGGCAGGAAATCAGCAGGGATCATAGGATCCCAGCAAGGTAAGCATCCAAATGTCTCTTGAAGGCATTCAAAGTAGGTGCTTGCACCACCTCCAGCAGCAGTCTATTCCAAACCTTGTGGGCTCGGACAGTAAAGAAATTCTTCCTTATGTCCAGCCTGAAACGGTCATGGAGGAATTTGTGACTGTTCGATCTTGTCATCCCTCAGGGTGCTCTGGTGAACAGGCGTTCCCCAGGATCCCGATGACCACCCCTGATAAACTTACAGGTGGCCACCAGATCACCCCTGAGCCTGCACTTTTCCAGGCTATAGAGTCCCATAGTTCTCAGCCTCTCTTCATAAGGTCTGTTTTCCTGACCTCTGATCATGCATGTGGCTCTTTTCTGGACTCTCTCAAGCTTCTCCACATTCTTTATGAATTGTGGAGCCCAAAACTGGATGCAGTACTCCAGCTGCGGCCTCACCAAGATTGAGTACAATGCGAGAATGACATCCTGGGATTTGCTTGAGAAGCATCTATGGATGCAAGCCAGGGTTTTGCTCGCTTTACTAGCTGCAGCATCACATTGAAGGCTCATGTTCATCTTGTGGTCAATCATAACCCCCAAGTCCCTTTCATCTGAAGTGCTAGCCAGCGTAGCACTGCCGAGCCTATAAGGATGCTGCGGGTTTTTCCTCCCAAGGTGGAGAACCATGCATTTTTTGGTGTTAAACACCATCAGATTCTCATCTGCCCACTTCTTGAGCCTGTCCAGGGCAGCCTGGATCGCCCTCCTGTCCTCAGGTGTGGACGCTTTACCCCAAAGTTTGGTGTCATTGGCGAATTTGGCCAGTCTGCATCTGATGCCAATGTCCACATCATTAATGAAGATGTTGAACAATATGAGTCCAAGGACAGAGCCTTGGGGGACCCGCTGGTCACTGGGCACCACGACAATTGACTTCCATCGACCACCACCCTCTGGGTCCGGCCACGGAGCCAGTTCCCCAGCCAGTGGATCGTGGAGAAACCGAGGCTGCAGTTGGCCAGTTTTGCTAAGAGGTGACATTTTTCTAGATGCTGCCATTATACAAATATTAATAATCTCAATTTAAGGAAAATAGGAACCTGCTATAAAAGATGCCTCCTTCTGTCTGATTTCTGTCCCCACTCATGAACATGCTGACCTAGGAGGAATATTTAAAGGCTAAAACTTTGTAAGCTAGAAAGACTGGAAATGGGAACTTTACCCAGGTGTCGAGGAACTGAGATGCAGGATCACCTGGGCTGTTCACTTGTTTCTGGTCTTGGGAGATTGTAATCTTGCATGGAAAAACAGGGTGAACTTCTGTTTATTGGTACTAACATATGTGTATTTTTCCATTTGGCATCACATGTGGATTCCTCTTACTAAGGGAGTAGGACAAAAAAAGGGCAAGATATTCTTTTTAGACATTCTAGAAAGTTTTTAAACAGCATTCTCATGTGAAATTGTTGGCATGAGAGATGTTCCTGTGTCACAACTGGGCGGTGCAGGACAGTCTCAGCACAAGTCAGTAAAACTGTGATGCTGTCGTGTACTATGTAGGTATAAGCTGAGTGTGGCTGTGTGCATCTGCTGTAAGCAATTGCCTAGGGGCCAGTAGCATTGTGTTGCCTAGCAAGCCGCCTAATTAAGGGGTTGAATAAAGTATACAGGAAACCTTGGAACTGCTTGCAAGGGACTTCAGACTGGGAGTTATTTACTGAAGATTGTTATTAATGTAGGTGCATCTTGGTGGTGATGGGCATTATAATAAAAGACCACCCTAAAAAATCTTTGCCTCTCACGTGTATTAAATTTCGGTGGGAGTGGAGGAGCAAGCAGCATGAGTTGGAAAGGTGTCTGAACTCAGTCTTCATCTGTGTTGAGAATTAAAATATATGTGTTGCTGTCTGAGGGAGGGAGGAGTGGAGGACTAGCTTGGGCAGAGGGAGGCAGTGGTCCTGAGGCTCAGTGTGGAATGGGAGCAGTGATTGCCTCTTGCTACTGCAACTTGTGCATCACACACATGTTGTGTCCAGACATGCGTGGACATTTGGTTCCCTGGGGACAAGTAGAAGTGGTGCGCCTTGCACTGCTGCTAGTTCTCCCTGGGGAATGCCTGTGCCATGTGCGCTGGATATCCAGGGGTCAAAAAAATCCTCTGCGCTGCTCCCTTGCAGCATGGAGAACTGAAGGTGTGGTACATGGCACCACAGACATGTCTGTCATGCCACATACTGCACGGCTGTGCTTGTCTGGACATGGTGAAAGTGGGTGATATGTTTGAGAGAAGCTATTAGGCTCTCATGAGTGCAAGCTTCTCCTTTAACTGACTAGAAGAGAGCAGGTTCATGGTACATCAGCCTTGCACTGAAGTGTGATAGATTCCACCATTTTCTTTTCACTCCAGACACAGTATTGGCCATGGGAGTCTCTGCTGCTGCAGTCCCACAGAAAGGTGTTGACAAGGTCATCCCTGAAGTTAGCTCTGGCTGGGAGCAGAGAACTTGGCTCCAAAATAAACCCTGAAGTTATTTTCCTTTCTGCATTAGAAAAAAAAGGGAAGCTTTGTTGATATTCCCAAAATAAAATATTAACCAGTTTGGTTACAGCTTAAAGAAAACATGAAGGATGACAGTTTTTGGGAAGCAGTGCAAGATTTGGAAAGGACCTCTTAGTGAAAAACTTTTGAGCCAATCTGGTTTAAAGGGATTGTGTTTAAAACCCAACCTAACCAACATCGGGTATTCTGTTCACTGCCTGTTAAAACGATGCTGTGATTCTCTCCCTGCTTGATGGTGTCCCTCGCTGTTTAGCAAACACTGAGTTGCCTCCCAGATTGGTTAAGCAAGCTTCAATGGAGGCGGATTTGGAAGGGTCAGTGCAGCTCAGAGAAGGTGGGTACTGGGTAAGTCTACACCCCCCAGTCTGTTCCCAGTTCATGGATGGGTGACTAAGGAGCCTGGGTTCCTTCAACTTGTGCATCTAGCTGTGGAGACTAGTTCAGTCCCTGCTGCGTCCGCCAACATGGTGGCTGTAAACATGATGAGTTGAGCGAATCAAAACCCATCTTGGACATACTGATCTCTTCAGGCCTCTTTGTACCTTTTTTCATTGGAAGGCTCCATGAGCAGTGAGGGGGCTGCCCTGGGAGCTTGGCAGAAGCTTGTCCCTTTCCTCCCCAGTCAATGGGTAGGGATGGGTTTTAAACAGGGTGGTACTGAGTAAGTTTGCCTGCAGGACCCCAGATAGCCCTAGGAAAGCATAGAGCCCCGCAGAATGCTTGGTGGAGGTATCCTTTCTTTGCACTTATCCTAATAACACTGTGTGGTAGCATGCTGAGCAAAAACCATGCTAATACACTACTGCACGGTAGTATTAGGCTACTGTGCAGTAAGTGTCACAAAAAAACCGATATGCTGGGGCTACTGCACAATAACTACTGTGCATTAATGAACATGTAGACATGCCCTATGTGGGGGTCCTTCCTGGGTGAGTTCAGGACAACAGCAAGCTTTGTCTCTTATTAATCTCCTCCAACTTATTCCTCATGCTGCAGCAGTCTGGCAAGGCAAAGCAGAACGCAGTCAGCTGCCCAGGAGCCAAAGCTGTAATCCATCTCTGCATTAATTTTACAGATAAGGGGGGAAACAATCTAGCTCTTCATCTCAGTTGTATGAGTTTGCCCATCCCAAGAGCTACTGGAAAGAGAATTCTGTTTATCTCTGTGTGTGAAATGTTAACCTTTCTTAGTGCTTTTTTATAAATGGAGCATTTGGGAGAAGAAAGTATGAGACCAGCTACTTAATGATACAGCAATAGCAGGAATGATCCTCTTCCCTGCAATGCAGTCTTGTTAACAGTTCTTGGTCGCCTGTGGGAGAAAGGACAGCTAAGGATACCTGCACTGCTCAGCAGGATCCACAGAACCAGTTCCAGGCTGGGCTCATTTCCTTTTGCACGTGCCCTGCTCAGAGTGCGAGACCACCTGGGGCTGCAGGGGATGAAACACTCCCTCATGAAAGGGCTGGCCCACCTTTGTACTCACAGATCAGTGGTGCTCAGTCTTTTGCCGCATGGGCCAGGTTGGTGGCATGGGGCCAGTCTGTGGGTTGGATCAGGGCCTGTGCCATCCCAGCTTGGCTGCCAGCTGTGCCACTTGGCTCCCTGCAACCCTACTCTGCTCCCTGCCACCCTGCACTGCCCCCCACCCCCTTAGCATCCCACACTCATCTGGTGACCTGGCCTACAGGGCTCCCCCCCAGGTCCAAAACTTTGACACCAAGGGGTGGAAACTAGCTGTCACTGCTTCCCTGCCA